GATGTGGTTGCAATGGTGCTTACCATTTATGATTAACTTTGCACATGTGGAATAAATATATTTTGTTTTAGTATAAGATAAAAGAATACTGGAAACTCTTTCAGGCGTGAGTTACTTGCTAGTCCCAAAGGCTAAGGGACAAACATGAAACAGAAGAATTAGGATAGGGCTGGAAGAAAGGTCCCAGTTCTTTTTGCTTTAGGTAGTTGGGGTGACGAGAATGTGAGAGGGGTCCGGGGCGGGAGGAGAGTCAGGAAGCCACTGATGCCTATCCCTGCTTTGTCCCCACAGATCCCAGGTGCCTCACGCCCAATCACAGAGCCGGACAGAATTCACCAGCAACCAGCTGCCCCACAAGGATTGCTTGCCAGCCTCCCAGAGAAGGGGTGTCCGCCAGGTACATTCTAACACTGATCTCCAGCCCTTACCCGACTTGTCTCCGGGTGTTCCCAGCCCTCTGATTTCCGAAGTTCCTGGTTCTTTATCTACAGGTATTTATTTATTAAATGGCTCCTGAGTGCCTGGCACTGTACTGGTGGAGGGCAGGAGGCCCCTGCCCTCCTGGAGCTGTTCTTCTGAGATGGACTCAGACAGACAGTTGAAGGTGACAGAGAGACGAGATAGGAACCATGAGGATAATTGAGTGATGGGTGGGACAGAGACTGGTTGGTGAGGCGTCTGAGGATGTGACCTTGACGCAGAGAGCAACTGTCTTCAGTGCAGAGCGCCACGCACAGTGGTCCGGAGAGGGCCCCCCAGGAGCTATGGTCCCAGGGGCAGGGGGAGAGCTTGTTTGAGCAAAGCTGGGGGGCAGCTGGGGTGAGTGTAGGGTGAGTTTGGGGTAAAGAAGTCACAAGGGCAGGTGAGAGCAGACCACAAGCCCTGGACACTCTGGAGGGAGCATAGATTTCACTTTTTGAGTGAGGTATTCAAGAAAGTAAACTATCCCAATGTGTTGTATTGATTAAATGTTGAATTGATACTATGTTGAATGTTAGGTCAAAAAATACATAGTTAAATGAATTGGCCCTCTTTCTCTTTTTTCCCCTTTTTTATTAAATTTATCGAGGTGACATTGGCTAATACGATCATACAGATTTCAGGTGTGGGTTTCTGTGTTACAAGATCCATATATTGCACTATGTGCCCATCACCCAAAGTCAAGTCATCTCCCATCACCATATATTAGGACCCCTTTCACCCCCACCCCCCTTTCCCTCTGGAAACTACCACACTGCTGTTTGTGTTCAGGAGTTTCAATTTTATATTCCACATATGAGTGAAATCATGTGGTTTTTAGCTTTTTCTGACTGACTTATTTCACTTAGCCAAATATTCTCAAGGTCCATCCATGTTGTTGCAAATGGCAGTATGTCATCCTTTCTTATAGCTGAGCAGTATTCCATTGTTCAGAAGTACCACATCTTCTTTACCAGTCCACTGTCTTGGGACACTGGTTGTTTCCATGTCTTGGCCTTTGTGAATAATGCTACAATGAACATACGGGTGCATATACCTTTGCGAATACATGTTTTCGAGTTTTGGGGTATATACCCAGAAGAGGCGTTGCTGGGTCATATGGTAGCTCTATTTTTAATTTTTTGAGGACTCGCCAGATGTCTTTCCATAATGGTTGTACCAGACTGCGTTCCCACTAGCAGTGAATGAGGGTTCCCTTTACTTCACATCCTCTCCACCACTTGTTATTGCTTGTCTTGTTGCTAATGGACACTCTTCTTTTTTAAAAAAATATATTTTGTTGATTCTTTACAGAGAGGAAGGGAGAGGGATAGTTAGAAACATCGATGAGAGAAACATCGATCAGCTGCCTCCTGCACACTCCCCACTGGGTATCTGCCCGCAACCAAGGTACATACCCTTGACCGGAATCGATCCTGGGACCCCTGAGTCCGCAGGCCGACGCTCTATCCACTGAGCCAAACCAGTAGGGCACTAATGGACACTCTTAACAGGTGTGAGGGGGTATCTCATTGCAGTTTTGATCGTATTTCCCTAATTGCCAGTGAGGTTGAACTTCTTTTCATATATCTATTGGCTATTTGTATGTATTCTGGGGGAGGTGTATTTTCAGGTCTTCTGCCCACTTTTTGATTGGGTTGTTCGTTTGGTGTTGCATTTTATGAGTTCTTTATATATTTTGGAAATTAAACCTATGTAGGAGCTATTGTTTGCAAATATCATCTCCCATCTGGATGGTTGCCTCTTTGTTTTGCTGCCAGTTTCTTTTGCTGTGCAGAACTGTTTAGTTTGATACAGTTCCATTCATTTATTTTTGCCTTTACTTCCTTTGCCTTCGAGGTCAAGTTCATAAAGTTTTCTCCATGACCAAAGTCCCTAAGTTTGTACTTATATTTTCTTCTGTGTCACTTATTGTTTCAGGTCTTATATTTAGGTCTTTGATCCATTTTGAATTAATTGTTGCACAGGGTGAGAAACTGTAATAAGGTTTCATTCTTTTGCATGTGGTTTTCCAGTTTTCCCAGCACCATTTACTGAAGAGACTATCTTTACTCCATTGTGTATTTCTGGCTCCTTCGCAAAAATTATCTGTCCATATACATGTGGTTTTATAGCTGGGCTCTCTATTCTGTTCCATTGATCTGTGTGTCTGTTTCTCTGCCAATATCATGCTGTTTTGATTATCATAGCTCTGCAGTATAATTTGAGTCAGGTAGCAAAATATCTCCAGCTTTTTTTTTTCTCCTCAGGATTGCTTTGGATATTTGGGGATCCCTTTCTTTTTATTCCTTTTTGAAAAAATATATTTTTATTGATTTCAGAGAAGAAGGGAGAGGGGGAGAGAGAAACATCAATGATGACTGAAGGGTCCTGGGTTTGATTCCAGTCAAGGGCACATGTCCAGGTTGTGGGCTCGATCCCCAGTAGGGGGCATGCAGGAGGCAGCCAATCAATGATTCTCTCTCATCATTGATATTTCTATCTCTCTCTTCCTCTCTGAAATCAATAAAAATATTTTAAAAATACAAAACATCCACATAGAAATTTATCTGTGACCTCCTGGTTTATAGGTTGACCCTCAACCACTGAGCCACGTTGGCCAGGCATTTACGTATTTTTTAAAAGAACGAAATTCTCCAGTGTTGCAGAAAATGGTATCCCAAAGTGATTTCAGTCAAGAAAAAACATTTGGCACTATGCTGCCTTTTCTCCCATTTCAGGATACACATGGGAGAAAAACCATTTCCCTTCTTAAAAAAATAAAACACAACAAAACCCTTTTTCCTCCGGTTCAACTTCCACTGTTTATTCCTAGAAACACCCAGAAAACAATATAAACAAGGCCCCGTCCACCTCACCTGGCCTCTGCCAGTCTAAAGGCTCATAGCAAGGACTGTTCCTTAGGAATTTTCTCCTCTGCTATAACCAGGAAACTGACCCCTAATTTCTGGGAACTGGCAAAAAAAAAAATCCCATTTCCTTCCAGGAGGGGCCTGAGGGCTCTGTAAAGGATCAAAGGGCATGGACCTGGCCCATGTGCAAAGGGGGCTTTTCTATATAAAAACACCCAACACCTTATAACCTAATGTTTAACCTACAGGTAAAAGCGAGCAGCTGACTTAGATACTAAAACGGTGTGTGTCTCACCATCTTTAACCATAAAAGAAACAGAGGGGAGCAGAGTCCAGAGAATTTGATTTCTTCTCCTTTCCAAAAACTTTGGCGCGTATTCTAGGCCAGAGCCAAGTTGCAAAGACAGACAGGTTCTCGCAGGGTGCAGTCTCCGCTGGATAACGCTGCCACTCCTGGGCGGCCTGGCGCATGGCCACTTTACTGAACCTTTCTCCCTGGTGTGCATAGTGCTTAACCATCGCTCGGACAATTATTTTCTCAATTCGACTTTGTCACTGACAAATACTTCAATGGCAGCTTCTAGAAACGGCCCAGAGGGCCCCCTCCCACCCAGTTCAGGGTCACAGATCCTTCCAGTTGATGGGCTCCTTGCCAGACTTTTGCAGCAGCTCGTCGGTTTCGAGCAAGGTCTGCACAAAGAGCCCTCTGTGCACAGACAAAGGGGAGGGATGGGCGGTCTGCAGCCCGTGGTGGCGCTTCCTATCGATGGCGCTGGCCTTCCTCTGCGCATAGGAGCCCCAGAGCAAGAAGGCGAGGCCACTCGAGTTCTGATTTAGCCAGGACACAACCGCGTCGGGGAATTGCTCCCAGCCCTTCTCCTTACGAGAATTGGCCTGATGCACCCGACCTCGAGGACAGTGTTGAGTAGAACACCTTGCTTGGCCCACCCAGATACATCTCCATGGCCAGGATGCACAAAACCATCTATGTCTGTAGACAGCTCTTCGTAAATGTCTTCCGCACTGGACGACATTTGGGTCCATGGTATGGATCCTGTCCCAGGATGACAACCTTCACGTCTCTTGTGTTGCACATTTGGGTCCACGTGAAGACTTGGTGTGGGGGTGGACACACAGTGTAATGTCTTCCTTCTTCTGCAACAAATCCCATTAGCTTTATAAAGGGTGTCCCAAAATTCATGCAAGATTTGAATTTTGCGTGAGCATTAACAACAACAAAAAATAAAAGCCTAATTTTACTTGGTTTATTTAATCAGATTCTAATAGCTGTTGCCCTTTGATTTCAATCCCTTCAATTTGATAAGCATTACCAAGTACCAATTATGGCCCAGGAGCAGGGACAATGAAGGCCAATGAAGACCACGGCTTTGCGTATGTGCCAGCAAAGCCGTGGAGGCCATTTACCCGATGTGCTATTCCATACATAACCCTATACTGTATACTTTATGAATCAATAAAAAATTTACAATTTTTAATTGTAACCCTTTGTTTTCTATCAAAATTACTTCTTGTGTGAATTTTGGGACACCCTTTAAAATACGGTTTTCCGAACTCACCGGCAGGTTGCGAGCCGCGAGTCTAATCAAGGCCCCAGCCTTCTTCTTCTGGATGCGGACCAACTGCTCAGGGCTCAGCGCCGATGAGGCGATGGGTGTGCCAGGCTCTTCCTGCCCTGCCCGGGCCTTCTTGGCGGGGCTCACCGCAGCATCCCCGCTCTCCTCCACCTCGCCGGCGCCGGGGGAGGAGAAGGGGTACAGTGTCTTCTGGCTGATCACCCTGAAGCCGCCCGGGGCCCCATGGGGCTGGCACAGGCTGTGGTGGTCCGTAATTGGCGCCAAGCCGCGCACATGCTCCCACCGAGGGGGTGGGCTCCACTATGTATTTTTTAACCTAAAATATCCACACTGGGAATCGAGCCCTCAACCCAGGCATGTACCCTCACTAGGAATGAAACCATGACCTCTTGGTTCATAGCTCAACGCTCAAACACTGAGCCATATCGATGAGGCTCTTTTTACCCTTTCAACGTGGCAACTATGAATTTGAATTTCATGTGTGGCTTGTAATACATTTCTGTTGGCAGTGATGGTCTAAGGGAGTGGTCGGCAAACTCATTAGTCAACAGAGCCAAATATCAACAGTACAACGATTAAAATTTCTTTTGAGAGACAAATTTTTAAAACTTAAACTACATAGGTAGGTACATTGTTATTAACTTAATTAGGGTACTCCTAAGGCTTAGGAAGAGCCACACTCAAGGGGCCAAAGAGCCGCAGTTTGCCGACCATGGGTCTAAGGGATGTGAGTGGATTTTCCTGTTTGGATTCCACTGATGGCCGAAAGAGGCCGCCCTTAGCCATCACTGCCAGCCTCCAGGAGCCCTGTGGTCATTCACTCACCAGATTCTCTCTCTTTTCCCAGGATCCTATCTGTCAGAACACAGCGGAGTGTGTACACCATGCACTGAAAAAGAGGGTTTCACCCGTAGTCCCAACCGCCTCTCTTCTTGCCTCCCCTGCTCTAACTGCCCTGCAGGTAGAGATGTAGACCTCATGCCTATGGTTAGGGCGCCGGGCAATGAGTTGATAATTGTATCGAATGGGGGATCAGAAACCTAATTGCCAGCCCAGCCTGGTCTTCATCATACCCTTTTTCATGATATGACTTAGGCCAATAAAATAAAATGAAAAAAGAAATTATTTTTATAATGCATGCCACACAGGAGGGACATCTTTTAAACCATCAGGTGGAAGTGGTGGGAGAATAACCTGTCCCTTGAAGGGAGGACTCAATGGCCACATCATGGAAGGGGTGGCCGAGTGGAAAAGTGCTGGTTTGGAGCCGGGATGTGGGGCTTGTCCTGGCCAGACCCCTCCTGGCCCTGTGCTTCCTGGCAGGCTCTCCGCCTTCCTCAGCCTTCACGGCCTAAGGCCTCTCTGCAGGGTTAAGTTTGCGGAACTCACCCAAGGGTTCCTCCCCACCCAGGGTCTCTCAGGTTATACCCGACCCTTCTTAATCATCCCGTAAACCAATAGATATTTCCTCCCAATCCTGATGTAATAAATAAATAATCATGGCCTTTTTTATGTACGCGGTTATTGCGGACAGGTGAACAGTGCTGTCCTTTTTGCACCTCACAGACATTGCTGCAGAAACTAACCCTCAAATCTGTGTCGAACTGAGTGAAGCTGAGTGTGTGTGTGGGGAGGGGGGGGGCAGTTGAGTGGTGAAAAATGGTTTGAGGGACACGTGATGGAAATGTATCCCCCGAATCCTATCCTTTATCTTCAGATAAAGTACAAATAGCTGCATGCACCAGGACGAGTGACACCCAGTGTCAGTGCAAGGAGGGCTGGTACCAGGATAAGGATTCTCCTGAGTACTGCCAACCGTGCAGCCCAAGGTAAGACACGAGAGCCCGCCGTGGCCATCTGCGTGTCTTCACGCTCCCGCTGCAGCACCCTCTTCCCACCCCTCCTCAGCTCGGTTTCCCTTTGGCCAGGCTGACCTTCCCACTGGGCACAGTAGGCCGCTAATCAGGGCCTATGAGCCTGTCAGTGGCCCATGCAAAGCTATAGGTTTTCTTAATATCAGAAGGAAGGGATTGTGTACAATGCAGCCATACTTGCAGTCATCTTTATAGCAATTCAATCACAAAATGGTTTTGTTTTTTTGGGGGGTTTTTTTTGTGTGTGTGTTTTTTGGTGCCGGCATGAGCCCATGAACACGTAAGTGTCCACAGCCAAGTCATAATGACCCGAGTCTGTAGCTCCTTCAGGGGTTCCTCAAACCCCTGCGCCAGGTCCACCACCTTCCCCCAGGGCCCTGCTCCCTCAATAAGACTGTGTTTTCCCTGTTATTGGGATTTAGGAGCCAATAGTAATTTGGTCTTTTACAGTGCGGCTGTGCTTGGTGGGGACAGTCAACGGGTGGAGGACAAGAGGGTCCTTGTATTGAGGGTTGACTGCAGCGGTTCTCAACCTGTGGGATGCGACCCCTTTGGGGGTCAAACGACCCTTTCACAGGGGTTGCCTAAGACCATTGGAAAACACATGTATAATTACATATTGTTTTTGTGATTAATCACTATGCTTTAATTATGTTCAATTTGTAACAATGAAATTGGGGGTCACCACAACATGAGGAACTGTATTAAAGGGTCGCGGCATTAGGAAGGTTGAGAACCACTGGACTAGAGAATGAGGCTCAGCTTGTGGCTGGAGTGAGCTACTTCCTCACTCGGGCTCCCCCTGCAGGTCAGGGAAGCTCAGTGCAGGCCTTATAGAGAAGGCCCAGCTCCTGTGGGTACAACTCTGAACTGGAGCCCTCGGGGGCTGAAGGTGGCATCAAGTCCCTCCTGAACCCGGCAAGGGGGTGAGAGGGCCCGTCGGGCAGACAGGAGAAGGCTGTTCTTTTTCCACTCTCCCGCCAGGGGACACTGGGTGGGTGTTGCTCCCTCTTTCTCTTCCTCTTACCCCTTCACATGCTCCCTGTGTTTGAACCTAGGTGCCCTAATGGCAAGGTCAAGGCCAGGGACTGTGGCCCCTTCAACGACCTCGAGTGTGTGGACCAAGAATCAGGTATCCAGGCCCATGGGGAGGCCCCAGTTCCTGGAGAGCCAGTGACCACCAGCCTGGACGCACCCACTGCTCCCTCTCTCTCCTCAGGCACACCATGGTGGGTGATCCTACTTGCCTGCATCTTTGGGCTTGGAGTCCTTGCCCTGCTGGTTACATTTGTATATTGTTGGTGCAGGAGCCGTAACCTTACAGGTGAGTTTGGCGGGAGCGATGGGCGGGCACTGGCACTCTCTGCTGCTTCCCTCACTTCCTGCTTCAGACAGAAAGGCCCACCCCTCCGTCTCCCAAATCTCTGGGTCTTTCTGGCCTGGCTGTGCTCTTGTTCCCTGGGATCACCCCTACCCCCACCTCACCTGCACCTGTGGAGGGCCGGGGTCCTATCAGTCCCCGTCTTGGGGCTGATGGTCACTTCCTCTCCTGCCAAGTCGGGGAGGGCAGGCCAGTTCTTCACATCTGCAGGGCCCTCAGCCAAGGCAGAGGGGTGGTCAGTGCCTCAACTGGGTGACAAGAGTCAGGAGGAGAAGGTCGGGAGGGGGGGCGTGGTTTACAGCTTTGATCAGAGCAGAACCCAATAGAGATTTGATATGTGTTTACTTTTACTTCTTTCCCTCGTTTTTCCCCCTTCCTGAGGGTGTCCCAGAGTTGGATTGCCCTTCCCTGTCACCAGGCCCAAGGCACCTTGTCAGTGTCTGAGCCCCAGCCCATGCCCTTCCCAGCAGGGAGACCCTGCAGAGGGGGCCTCCCACGCTAAGGCAGACACCCTACTCTTCTAGGTTCTAGAGCGGCCACCAAGAGCAGGAGCAGGGTGAGTGGGTTTCTCCAGGACCTGTGGCATCAGGTGGTGAGGAACTGCTTTCTGCCCACAATAGGGCCCTGGGTGGGTGTGGCCTCAATTTGTCCTGTGCTGCTCTCCCCGGCTCTCTAAAGTGGCCCTGTCCTTCCTGCTGCTTGTGACACCCAGACCACGGCCCTGTACTCTGGGCTGTGGGGGTGTCAGGTGCTGAACCCCCTTAGCACAGCACCAGGGTCCTGGTGCTAACAGCAAAGTCCTGGATGTACTGAGCCTCTGCCAACCTGAGAGGAGGGAAACCTGGGAGGGGCGGGGCAGCAGAACCTACGTGTCCCCTGAGACCCTTTAGGGAGCCTGGGTGTGGACTCCTGAGTCAGCTCTTTTCCTTCCCAAGGGCTGGTTTGGTTGCTTACGAACCCCAGGAGAGGCCGAGGCTCTGGACAATGCCCGCAACCTGGCCAAGAGCGACAGAGACTCATTGTCCTCTGAGCAGGAACAGGAAGAGCTGGCAGGTGGCCTGGTGCAGCCCGCAGGAGAAGCACAGCTTCTACTGGTGAGTGGGGGCGGCCATGCCAGGTCCTGGCCTTTGTGCTGGCCCAGGACTGTGTCAGAAGCAGGGAAAGGCCAGTGCTGGTCAGGGCTGCTGTCCTGGGGAAGGATGGTACAGGGAGATCAGGACCTGAAGGGGAAGGGGCTGCACTGCAGGGAGCTGTTAGCTCTGTGGAATGCCTGGGTCTTCTTATCTGTCTAGATGTCACAATATCCCAGAGTCTGGAACAGGCAGGCACAGGATGGCGTCCTCATCTTTCTTGACTGGCTGAATGAGGGCTGCAGATAGTCCACTGTGTAGTTGTAAAATAATTTAGTAAGCCATTCCTTGTAACAATAGGAATATCAGACTTATTACAAAATTCTTATTATATAAAAGCCTATGTGACTGGTTGCTATGACATGAACTGACCACCAGGGGGAAAACACTCAATGCACGGGAAGAAAGATGCAGGAGGCTTCTACCACTCCCTGAGAGGATGGGGCCTGAGGGGATCAGGCTGAAACCACCTCTCTGACATCCCCCAAGGGGTCCCGGATTGGGAGAGGGCGCAGACCAGGCCGCGGGACCCCACTGGTGTACGATCCATGCATTGGGCCTCTAGTATGATAATAAATCTTAGTCTAGATACCTAATCCTATTTGTAGGGTGGCATTTAGAAGTAGAATTTCTGGGCACACACACGTGCATACAGTTTTGGTTCATATCAGTTCATGAGTTTTAGTATGACATTGAGTGGTAAACCTGTAGAAATATTTAATTTTTATTCCTCAGAAGCTTAGAAAGTCATTTCCCTTAACATAAGATGAAATTCACTAATTTTTTAGAGTTTTTAAATTTACAATGATTTTTAGCATCTAGCGTTGTTATCCAAATGGAACTGACTGTGTGACCTGATGTGACATGAGGCGTCTGAATTGTTCTGAGTCACTGTCTCTTTCCTCCAACCCCATTTCACAATGGATCCTCTCATTCCCTCGGCTTTTGGCTCCTCCTTTATCAGATGTGAAATGTTTACAGACTTTCCTGTTTCCTGTTTCCTTTATCAGATGTGAAATGTTTACAGACTTTCCTGTTTCCTACGGTGTGCTCTTTTTAACATGTGTTGTTGTTTTTTTAAATTGATTTTAGAGAGGAAGGGAGAGGTATAGACAGAAATATCAATGATGAGAGAAACATTGATAGGTTGCCTCTTGCATGCCCTCTAGTGGGAATCAAGTTCACAACCTCGGGCATGTGCCCTGACCAGGAATACATCACCTGATCTCTTGGTTCATGGATCAGTGCTCAACCGCTGAGCCACACCAGCCCGGCTACAGTATGCTCTTTTAAGGTAAAGTATAAAAGGAAACAAACCAAAAAGGACAATAATCCCTCGATCGTGATTAATCACTTTTCACATTTTTTAAAGTAGTGCTTATCCACAGTGAGAAAAAGTAAATAGTACAGAAAGGTTCTCAGGGAGTGGTAGAAGCCTCCTGCAGTCTTTCTTCAGCCCCCCCCCCACTTTTTTATTTCAGGTAATTATGAGAGACAATTCTTTTTTTTAAAATGATTTTATTTTTAAACTTTTATTATTTTTTTAATTTAAATTTTTTATTGTTTAAAGTATTGCATATGTCTCCTTTTCCCCCCATTGACCTCTCCCTGCCATTCCCATCCCTGACTCATGCCCTCACCCCCGCCCCCTACTGTCTGTGTCCATGGGTTATGCTTATATGCATGCATACAAGTCCTTTGGTTGATCTCCTACCCCCCCTCCCCCTTCCCTCTGAGGTTGGATGGTCTGTTTGAGCTTCTGAGTCTCTGGATTTATTTTTGTTCATCAGCTTATGTTGTTCATTATATTCCACAAATGAGTGAGATCATGTGATATTTATCTTTCTCCGACTGGCGAGAGAATTCTTTGCTGAAATCTTTGTGCATATGCCATCTATATACAATACTCTACCAAATGAAACCTTTTAATAACTGAGAGTGCACATACCTTGCCAAAATATATTATTTCTATGCATACAAAATTTAGAATTATTTATAATATTTTCTCCACCCCACCTCCACAAAAGTCATTGGAACATTTTTAAAATATATTACCTCACCTTAATCCAAGAAGAATTGAGATCTTTCAACATTCAGTATTTTTCTTATCAAGGAAGATAGCATTGCAGATCAGGAGTTTTATTATGACTCAGTTAAGATTTGTGTTTTTCTTCCGATTAATTCCTGTTTCTACTAAAAGCTGTTTCTTTGTATTTTATGTGTTTTGCGACCCTTACTGGTTGGACCCCGTTGTAATTCTGTTTTCTAATTTATTGTTTCTAGTGTGTTTATTAACATTCACCAAGATATGCATTTATTTATTTATTTATTTATTTATTTATATTTCAGAGAGGAAGGGAGAGGGAGAGGTAGAAACATCAATGATGAGAGAGAATCATTGACCGGCTGCCTCCTGCAAGCCCTCCACTGGGGATTGAGCCTGCAATCCGGGCATGTGTCATGACTGGGCATCGAACTGTGACCTCCTGGTTCATAGGTCGATGCTCAACCACTGAGCCACACCAGTGGGACACATTTAGTTTTAAATATTGTAGCTTATACCTTAGGGTTTTAAAAATTTATAATCATGTCTAAAATAATGATTGTTTCTGCCCTTTCCACAAGTCCTGCCTCCTTTGTTTCCAGAACTGACAATGTTCACAGGTGCTTAGAGAAGGTGCGCGTTCGATCTTGACTGGATTTCACTGGGAAGGCCTTCAATACTTCACCTAAAGGAATGATGTTGACTCTTGTTTTCATATAGAAAATCTTATCATTATGGATGCAGCCCCCTATTTTTGAAGTGTTTTTAAAAAATCAGAATTCATGTTTAATTTTACAAAATGCCTTTTCAGTCTCCATGCAGACAATCTAATAGTTTCATTTCCTTATTTAGATTATCAGTGTGGTACAGTATTAGTGATCAATGCACCTCCAGCTTTGTGGAAGAAGTCTTACTTAGATTTTGCAAAATGCCCTCATATATATTCTTTATTTGAGTCACATACATGCCTGGGAGGGAGTGATTGTCTCCTGATGGGGTGGGTGGGAATGGACTAGAAAGGGCAGGAGGCAGCTGTGCAGGGCGGTGAGAATGTTCCATGTCTTGATTGGGTGATGGTTACTCAGGTGGTCCAGTTGTCAGAGCTGGAACTGACAGGGAGTGAGCATTACTCTAGGAAACATGGGTCTCCATGAGCACACAAGGACACAGTCTGAGAGGCACAGCAGGGAGGTTCCTCTCTGTCTCGATAGAGACTGGGAGGGAGGTGGCTGCCCCAGGTCACACAGCTTTCTGATGGTCAGGCTCACTTCTGGAATCCAGGACTCCCGACTTGAACCCAGGGGGTTTTCCACTCTATTTTACAGGGACCGATAGGCACTGACGAGTCTCAGATGAGAAGAAAGCTGCTGGTTCCAGCGAACAACGAGAACCCCATAGAAAGTGAGTGATTTGTTGGGGGCAGTGGAGCAGTGTCCTAACTGCTGTCCGCATAGCTGTTAGGGCAGTACAGAGCCAGGGATGCTGGAAACTGGGGGCCTAGGCTGATGGTCACTGGACCGTTAGGACAGTAAATCCCCTCCCCTCTCCCTCCACCCCCCTCCTCCCACTGCACACCATCCCATCCGTCACAACAATGTTCTGTACTGCCCTGTCCTTCTCTCCACCACCTTCCCCCTTCCCCGGCTGCTCAGGGCCGGGCTCACCACACTGAGGGCACCTAAGGGGCTGGTGCTGTCCAGCAGGCCACCACCAGCCCAGGAGACTACCGAGCACCTGACCTCTGGCTAGGCCAAATTTAAAGAGTGTAATGATAAACTACAGATCAGATTTTAAATACAAAAAAGGAATATAAAATATTCCATTGGTAATTTTTTTTATTGATTGCCTGTAAATATAATATTTTGTAAGTATTGAATTAGTACCAGATAGTATTAAAATGAATATTACCTGTTCCATTTTATTTTCTTCAATTCGGCTATTAGAAAACTATAAATAAGTGGTCCTGGCTCACCTTATATTTCTGTGGGCAGTGGTGTGCAGTGCATTCCACACACATCTCATTGAATCCTCAGTACAATCCCATGAAATGGGTGGGGTTTGCTCTGCTTCCGGGTTAAATTCTTGCTCAGAGTCTGTTAGTGCCCGTCTCACTCTGCCAGTTTGGTGGGTGAGGCCAAGCTGGGTGTGGAGCCAGAGATCATCCCCCTCCAGGCCCTCGGGCTGTGCACAGGTGCAGATGTGGCAGCCCCGGACCTTACGCTCAGGATAAGTGCAGGCTCCCTCCTCTGAGGGCCTGTTGCTCTACAGTCTGTCCCACTCTCTGTCTCCTACCACATACTCCTCGCTCGCTCGATCCATGACGTCCATCTCCCCTCCCATGTGGCTGTCAGCCTTCCCTTAAAGCAGAATTCTCTGTTGATCTTGACTCTCCGAAGTGCCATGGGCACAAGCGAGGCCCAGACTGGCCTGATTCTAGTACTGTATGCTGATGGGAAGCAGGTAAGGGATGACGAGCGGCAGGTAACCACCAGGGGGCGCTCCAGTATACATCTGCCCTTTTTGTTGTTAATCCTCATCCGAGGATATTTTTCCCATTGATTTTAGAGAGATGGAAGGAAGGGGAAAGACAGAGAGAGAGAAACATTGATGTGAGAGAGACTATCAATTGGCTGCCTCCCACATGCGCCCTGACCAGGGCCTGGGATTAAGCCTGCAACCGAGGTGTGTGTCCTTGACTGTAATCGCACCCAAGACCCTTCACTTTGTGGGCCGACACTCTAACCACCAAGCCAAACTGGCTAGGTCTACATCTGCCCTTTTTGCAGAGTTTCCCCCACCCCACCTGACTGTCTCTGTGGCTTTTTCCCATCTAGCCCTGAAGGAGTGCTTCTATGAGTTCTCAAGGATCGTGCCCTTTACTCGCTGGGAGCCGTTCATGGGGTTGGCGGGCCTCACGGAAAATGATATCTCCATAGCCAAAGCACAAGTGTTGAACCCGCGGGATGCCTTGTATCACATGCTGATCACCTGGGTCAACATCAAGGGGAAGGCTGCCTCAGTCAACACCCTACTGGACAGCTTGGACAAGCTGGGGGAAACGAAAGCAAAGGAGGAGATGCAGGACTTCCTGCTGGAGTCCGGAAAGTATATCTATGAAGTGGGTGAAGCAGGTTCTGCTGTTTCCCAGTGAAAAGAATCTCTTTTGGAGACCAAAGCTTTCCTAGTTTACCTTTTCTCCTGAAAGGAAAATAAGACTGGATACTACATGGCTGGCCAGTGCGGCTCAGTGGTTGAGCATCAACCTGTGAATCAGAAGGTCATGGGTTCTATTCCCTGTCAGGGCACATGCCCAGGTTGCAGGCTGGATCCCCAGCAGGGGGTGTGTGGGAGGCAGCTGCTTGATGATTCTCTCTTACATTGATGTTTCTATCCCTCTCCCTCTCCCTTCCTCTCTGAAATCAATACGCTTGGAGAAATTTCTCTTCAAATTGGTTCATAGGCCAATGCTCAACCTCTGAGCCACACCAGCCAGGCCTGGCACTTTTTCATTCTAATAGACTTCTACGTTTTACTTGTTATTTAATGTTTTGTATAATCCATCTGTGTTGTTATGTGTCCAGGTATTTATGTCTAACTGTGATAGGGCTCTTTTTATTTTTATAGTTGAAAGTTCGTTCTTGTATTATTATTGTTTATTATTGTATTATTTTCTGTAAACTTATTTTTGCCCCACCCTGTATATATTTGTATATTTATGGAAAACTTTTTGGAAATGTATTTACTAGGTTGATCACATGTGTTACTTAAATGAGAGAAGTTAACAAAATTGCAAAGGAATCACCGCACCTCTGCGGGTGGTGCTAGTGAGTCCCAGCTCCCTCAGGTGCAGTTTGAGCTTGTCCAGCATTAGGGGACCGGCCACTTTTACCGCAGGGGTGGGGAATGTCTGGCCCTCGGGCCCTGTAAGGCCGACAACCATTTGGTCTGGCCCTGCCAAGGCAACCACACGTGGAACTTGAAATTCAGGAAATCTAGTTTTTTTCATAGCAATATAAATTTATATTAAGTGAATCATAATAATAATGTAAATTTTGAGGGACAAGCAAGAATGTCCATTACGGGACGTTCATAAAATATACTTTAAGTACACTGCAAAGGTTCTAGAACATTTTAAGTGCTATAGGCATTTGGATGATAGAACTTCCTCAAGTACTGGCAGCTTTGTCCAGGGCAGTATCCAGTACATGACGGTATTGAGGTGACTCCAAGGACAGTCAGCTCCAGGCCGCCTGGGAGTGTACAGGCTGTGAAAGTGTTAACACACTGTGGCAAAACTACTGCGATCCCGTGATGATGAGACGAGGTGCGATGAGATGATTCCTCGCGACGTGGATGACCTTGCCTCCAGTAATTGACAACGATGTTGTCGACTTCTCTGCTGACACACATGGTAACTCCAATCCACCCTTTATCCACACGTCCACGATCAACAATTCTCAAAAAACCTGAATCTCAGGTAAAGATTAAGGACATTATGGTACAAAGAAAAGACCTCTAGAGCCGATGATACAAATGTTGGATATGTTTCAAATCCAAGATGCAAGATTAGAACAGCGATCAAAGCAAAATAATTGCGTTGCTGGTGACACACCCACTGGATAGTTATTAAAACTTAAGGGTGTGACACCCTACAAATGGCGACTACAAAGAAAAGAAAAGTTAATGCAGAATGTCAGTCTTTCCAAGAGAAATGGACAAACGATTATTTTTTGTTGTTGAAGTAAAAGGCAAACTCGTGTGCGTTAGCAGTAATGACAGCCAATCTGGAGCGTCATTATAGCTCAAAACATGCTAAACTCGCCCTAGCTGGTTTGGCTCAGCGCATAGAGCGTCGGCCCTCGGATTGAAGGGTCCCAGTTTGATTCCAGTCAAGGGCACATACCTCGGTTGCAGGCACCATCCCTAACCCTGGTCAAGGCCAGTGCGGAAGCGGCAACCAATGTGTCTCTCTCACTTCGATGTTTTTCTCTCTCTAAAAAACCAAAGCAAAAAACATGCTAAACTCAATGAGTTGGGAGGCCAAATGCATCTGGATAAAATCAATGCTCAGGATAAAATCAATGAAGTGCAGACGGGCCTCAGCCAATCTGAAGAGCCGGTTGGGTGGGGGTCCGAGGCATCGTATACCGCTCCCCCCCACCCCCCATCTATAGGTCTCAGAATTCCTCTGGTGACTATTTTGGTGCAGATTCATTCCCAAGGCCCCTTTTCACTTGGTTGGGGCCTTCCCAGAATTCATGAGCAGCACCTGGCAACTTGATCTTGCCCAGCCTTGAGACTGCTGGCTTCTCTGCTCAGGGAGTAAAACTCCCCTTTTTTCTTTCCTCTTCCCCCCTCCCTTTCTGCATTCTCTGGTTAGGGAAGGTTTTTTAACCATTTGCTCTCCTGTCCTTGGCTGGGGAAGATAATGGCTTGTTAGTTACAAGCTGCAAATTGCCCACACTGTTCGGCCTTGTTTTAACTTTCCTGTCTCAGTTTCCCTATTCCTCTGCCCTGGAATCCTGTAACAGTTCTTTTCAAAACTTACCATCGCCCAGAGTCGACTGCACTCCAGACTGACCGACGGAAACCTGAAAAAGCAGTTGCGAGTAGTAACATCATCAATACCAGCTACACACCTCACCAAATACACCACACACCTCACCAAAGAGAAGCAGGGAGCTTAGTTAAATGATCAAATATAGCAGGCTAATTTTTAGGTTGATAATTTTGTATGGCTCACAAATGATGTTATAAATATCCACATGGCCCTTGGCAGTAAAAGGTTCCCCACCCCTGCTCCACAGGGACCACTCTTCCATGTGATTGTTGTGTTTGAATATTTATAGATGGATTTTAACAAGTGAGAAGTGGTGCTGCCCTGTGTCGGCTGCTCCCGGCCTGGGCATCCCATGCCTGTGTCTCCTTTCCCTCATCTTTGGATGTGTGTGAGGAGGGTGGGAGATGTGCGAGGTACCTTCTAGGTCATGTGCCACTTCCAGTCATACTGGTGACATTCAGCCCTAGCTGGCTCTGGGGCTGAACGTCAGGGGTCAGGGTTCTGCTCCCGCTGTCTGCCCTGGTGCTAATATTTGATAACTTAGCATTAACAGGGCTGTCTCCCTCCTCCCTCCTCCTATTTGGTTATTTATTCAGGCCTTTATTAGTCTGTAAACATGAACTGCACCTGTAATTTCATCCTTGGTGCTATGAGACAGGCCAGGTACTTCCTGCCTTTGCTGTACTGTGAGGACGCTCTGCCCTCGCGTCGTCAGATGCTGTGAATGACTTTTCCAGTCAGGTTCCAGCTTGGTTGTCTCTTTCTTAGTTGCCTGGTTGTCCTGTTTATTTCTTTAAAAGGTCATGAAACCATGAAGTTGTCATTTTGTTTCATGTCCGGTTTACATAGCACCTCGCACTTAATAGGCACTCAGTGTTTCCTTAGTGATTGGGTATTTTTTCATGCTTCTCTCCAGTGAAAAGTGCACCTTTGAAGTTTGTTGGAAATATCAATAACAATACAAGGAAAGCCATTAAGTACAAAATATTCATGTATTTATGAATCCATGACCAAATTAAATATGAAACCTCATATAAAAAGAGTGTGGGTTTGTTGTTTTCTCCGCGTCCGTCCTCCCATCCTCTGGAACAGCTCGGAGTGACATGAGTCCTGGGCTGTCCATTCTCACTGTGGGACTCCCTCCTTCCTTTCCCCGGGTGCTTTCATACTTGCCCCCCATGGCCGGGTTCCTGCTCTGACTGAATTTCCAAGTGGGACTGGAATCATAGCCCCTCCTTCCCTCTCCTCCATGCCCTTCCCTGGGAGAGGGACCCCCAGGCCTGGCCTGCCCCCTCCCCCCAAGTGGTGTCTCTGGGTTACACCTGCGCCTCCTGGGCCACCCTCACTTTCTCCCCGCACTGGCCAGGGCTCTGTCCTGCAAACTCAGATCCCACATCCCCGCCTCGCGGACTTGAGGCCTTGGCTCTCCCTTTTACCTACAGCTCCTGGGAGACCCTGTGGCTCCTCCTCTGTTTCCTTCCCCAGAGCAAAGGTGCTGGGGGCAGAGCTGTTCCCTCATACACTGCCCGCCCTGCCCCTCCCATTGCTCCTCAGCCTCCCGAGGCCACAGACCGGCCAGCAGAGGGCAGCACGCGACCGGTATACCCAGCAGCCACCCTGGAGGACTTGGAGGGGAGGCAGCCAGGGCCTTGGGCTCAGACAGCATGGGTCACAGCCACTCCAGCCATCTCCTGCTGCTTCTTTTGACGAAGACTTAACCTGAAATCTCTAGGTCTTGGCACCACGGGGTTGTTACAAAAGCTTCCTTTGTTTCAAGTTTGTTCTCTCCCAGACCTGAAGCCTGACGGTGGTGGGACCCACTCCGGGGCCTGGCCCTAAAGCAGTCCCTCCTCCGGCCAGGCAGCTCTGGCTCCGGCTCCACAGCTCTGAGCCCCGGAGCAGTGTCTCTCCGGCTCCACCCTCATCAGAGGGACTCTGTCTTCTGTCTAGAAAGGATGTGGGAGTGAAATAGGACCATCGCGGCCCAGCTTCTCCCCGTGGGGCTGCAAGTGCTCTCCTCATCCTCCTCTTCTCTGGACTGACTCTGGAGCTGCCCCGGCTCCATCCTCCCTTCCTTGTCCCCTTTTATCCCAAACCAGCACTAAGGCAGGTCCTGTCCTAGGATCCTGCATCGCCGAGATTCCTATTCCCAAGTCAGTGACCTTTTTCCTGGCCCTTGACCCCTACCCCAACCCGCCCTCCAAAACACATCCTGTGGGGTCACCTCTGAAGGTGAGGAGGTTAACCTGCCTCTCATGATGGGCAACAGTAACCATCCAAGGCCACGGTCAACCCCGAGGCCAGCTTCCCTCCCCCCCACCCCCCACCCCGGCCCCGGGTTCTTTACACCCGCAGGCTGGAGGCCTGGAACTGCTGCTGCCCCAGAGCCTCCGGTCCTGGGCATCCCTCACTGCAGGCAACAGCCCTCTCCTCACAGGGCTCGAAACACTTCTATAGTCTAAACCTTTGTCTCATCAATGCGGGGGCCCGTTTGGTTTTATAAAATGTAAGCCATACAGGGTCTTTTTCTGTCCTTTCGTTGAGGGAATAGAGGCTAGAGTGTTTCTGTTGGTGGTGATTTTGTTTGTTGCTTTTTCTTTTTTTGCTAATTTTGCCCCACCCCGTAAGAAGCCATGCGAACTAGAGGAGCCCAGAGGAGCCCAGGATTGCTGCGTCCAGACCCCCTCCACCCCCTTCCTTCTTTCCCTGTTCTAGCTGTTTCCTTTGGATCCCATCTCGGAGTGTGAAGGAGAGTGGAGGGAGAAGTTTCTCACTGCACCAGGAGACCCTGCTTCTAGGCCTGGAGCTCTGAACAACTCCACTTCCCTCTACCAGGCCTGGCTGCTGGCGGCCCAGGAGGCACCCCAGGAGGTGTGGCCTCCGGCAGCTGCACCCAGGAAGTGGAAGCCTTGGGCGGGGCCCTGAAGGCTTATCTACCCTGACTTCTCCGGCGAGGATTTGAGTAGGCTCCGCGTGGAAATGCCCACAGAACATTTGCAACCCCCAAGTCCACTGGTGGAAAACTATGGCCCATAGAGGCCGGACCTCCCTGTGCACTGCTCACCGGGAGGGGGCTGCCTCCACAGACCACAGCTCTCATGGCTGGAAGTTTCCCCCTTGACTCTAGGGTTGTCCAACCCAGAGACAGGATGTCAGCACTCCCAGGAGCTGTCCCCTGCTCCCACCTCCCAGGAGCTGTCCCCCGCCCTGTTTCAGAACTGGGGGCCTCCGAAGGGGGTCCCTGTTCTGACCCACGAGGCCCGGCTCCTCTCCGGCTGAGCTGGTGGCTGGTGAGAACAGCCCCGCCCTTAGGGTCCTGGTTATGTGGGTCCCCTTGTCCCTGGGAGGTGGAGGGGGCGATGCAGAGAGCGGAGGGGCAAGGGCAGGTGGGCACAAGAGCAGCGGAGTCAGAAGAGGGCGGCAGCATCTCAGACCAAGGCCGAGGAGGAAGATGGGGACGCCGAGGAGGCCGCAGGGGAGGACGGGGAGGAGGGACTGTTCCAGAACAGCCACCGCCGCTTGGGCTGCCGCTTCAGGTGCAGATAGTCCTCCTTCTCCCGCTCCTTCCGGGCCCGCTGGTAGTGATCCTCCTCCTTCAGGTACCACACGGGCGGCCAGCGGTGCTTCTCAAAATACTCCTGGTTTTCTGGAGCAGAATGCGGTAGGGCTCGGTTAGAAGGAAGGCAGAAGGGGCGAGAGGAACCCTGGGACGTGAAGGGAGTCCAGGGACCCGCACCCCCACCCTGATGCCTCGGGGACCTGTCAGCCAGGAGCACATCCCAGGCCCTGGGCCACAGGGGAAGCCCCTGCCTTCACAGAGCCCCCACCTGGCTGCAGAGCTCCCTAAAGAAGGTCCCATGGGAAGGTCTCAAGGGGTGCGTCATGTGTCCTGGGAATAAAACGGGGGCGAAGAACGAGGCAGGGAGCAGGTGCGGCACCTGCTGAGGTAGCAGCATCCGGCAGAGCTGAGGTTCTGAGCTGAAGGGGGCGTGGGCTGCAGGAGGGTCAGACCGAGAAGGCGAGGCTGAGGGGTAAGGACTGATTCCGAAAGGCGTAGGGGGCCACGGGAAGTTTGGAATCAGGGGAGTGATGTGATTGGGGCTGGGCTTTAGAGAGAAAACGCTCCAAGGGAGAGAAGGGGGTGAGAGAAGGGTAGGGTGCAGAGACAACCTGGGAGCAGGGAGGAGGGCCCAGCAGAGTGGAGGTTGCCCAGTGCGGACCTCAAGGACACCGAGTGGCAGGAACTCCGGGAGGCGAGGGACACCTCTCCCAGGTGCCCATGCAGTTCCTGTTGGGCCCCAGGACCTGACACATTCATGATGCAGAGGCAGAGTCCCAGGGCCTCAGAGGCTATCCAGAGGATCTGTGTTGTCCGAGCTGTGGCTTGTGGCCATTCCTTGTGAAACCAGTGTAGTACCATGAGCAGAATTACGAACAATTTATGTCTTTTCTATATGGGTCCTAGGTCACCATGTAAAATGTAGTTCTTATTGTGGTGTCCTGTCCAGGAAGTCTGAGGAAATACCTCTAGTCCTACACCTTCTTTATACGTGTGAGGCACAGAGCCCAGACAGGTGGAGTGAGCTGCCACCGGTCCCCAGCTGCCCTGCCCACCAGGTCGGCGCTGTCCGCCTCTGCTTGGCTGGATGCAACTTTGCAGGCTACTTCCCTCCTGCAAGATCAAGTTAGGCCCAAGGACCTTTGGCAGCTTCCGGGTGCCCTGGGGTCCGGTCGGAGATTTGGACCAGGGTGGAGGCCCCTTCAGCGTGAAGCGGGGGGTCAGCAGGTCCTGCCGGGGATGCTCACCTGGGGACATGGCCTTCATGTCTCGGGGGAACTTGCGGCACACGTTGTTGTAGTTGGTGCAGATGTGGTGGAGACACCAGTCTGCCAACTGGTACGCACAGTGGAACTGGGGAAACACAGAGAGGCACCGTGCTGAGACCCAGGGCGGGGTCAGCACCGGCAGCTCCGGTTGCTGTCAGAGCAGAACCTTCAGTGCAGGTAGCGAAGGCCGTGCAGTGAGTGGGAGAGCCCACCTGGAGAGGCACAGCCACACAGGCACCACTACTATACCACCACCACCAGCACCACCAGCACCACCATGACCACCACCACCAGCACCAGCACCACCACCACCACCACCTCGCCTCTGTCCTGTGCCAGCATCCGTGGAAATCCCAGGCCCTACGCTGTGGCTTCCTACTGTGTCTGCCTCCTCAGATCTTACTCCGGGCGATGTTCTTCTCTTCCCCCGCCGGGGCCAAAGCAGTCTACACTAAGGTGTTGATGACTGGGCTTAGAGCTGACTTTCCCAGGTGTGTCTGCAAGCCTTGAATCTGCTATGCTTTAACTCCAGAACTGATCTTTAGTGCTAGAAGGGCCGGTGTGGGGGATTCTGCTAATTTGTATGGGAATAAGGAGGTGGGCAGTTAATTTTAGTCCTGCGTGTCCCTTAAGTGACCTCAGGCAGACAGCAGCCATGTCTACACAGGAGGCTGGGGTTCGCTCCCCTACCCTATGGCTGCCTGAAGTCTCAGCCCCATGCTCCCACGCCAGCTCTCCTCTTGGCAGGTCAGGGTGCATCCTCTGGCCAGGAGGAGGAGAAGGGCTCACCCAGTCAGGGAACTGAGGCTGACAATGGGTTCCCTTCCTACCCACCACCTCTCAGCCCCTCCCCTTTCACTGCCAATGGGCAGACAGAGCCCAGAGTTGAACCTGTTGTAGAGAGCCCTTCCCTGGCCACCATACCTGAGCCAGTTCCAGGAACACAAGAACGTCCCCATCGATGTCCACCATCATCTGAGTTGCTTCCATCAGCCCGGTCACGGTGTACTGCTCTGTGACACACACAGCCAGGAATCAGCTGAAGGAGCACATGAGTGGCCATGTGCTCACTTATACCCCCCAGCAGGGGCCCTAGTGCAGGGCAGAGAGAGAACAAGGCCAAGGGCAAGTCCCAGCAGGCCCAGGAAAGGCCACAGGCGATTAGAGTCAGCTCCCACCAGCAAGGTAACCGGAATTAGAGCAAGACTACCCCAGCAGAGCAGGGTGGGAATGTTAGTATTGTTTAAGAGGATTTTTTCAAGCTACATATGCTGCTCCAAATAGTCTGATACACGTAGGATGAAAGCCCCTGATGGAATCAGCCACTGCAACTGCCAGGGGGAGGGTATGAAGTCAGGTTTGCTGAGAACTATGAGTTAGAACTCCAGATTAAACCTAGCTGCTGGTATTAACTTAAATTTTAGAATGAATCGTGTACTAATGTTGCTTTTTAAGTTAGTGTTTATACCGAAGAAGTAAACACTTTCAGTCCTGAATTTTAACCGTATCAGTATAAACTCCTGAGGTATTTTATCTTTAAAAATATATTTCCCAGCTCAGTCCTAGCGACATGGAAACGACCTAGCAGCAACAGCCCTCGCCGCAGAAGAGCATTCCTGGTGCTCAGGCTGCAGCCCTGAATGCCATTTCCGGCTCTCGGGCACCAGGATCTCATAGAGAAAGGGCTAATTCGGGGTCTGGGGCAGGAAATGAACACAAGGATCCTGAAACACCTCATTCCATAGAACCACTTTGTTACTAATGTTGTGGCCCCACCCCATAACAAAGAAACAGAATTTCCGGAGGATGAGGCCCAGAAATCAAGATTTTAAAAAGATTCCCAGGTGATACTAATGTGCAGCCAAGGTTGAGAGCCACTGATGTAAGAGTTCACAATAATACTTAAAAAAACAAACAAAACCTAATTGGTCACCCTCAAAGGATGAAAGGATAGGAAACAAATTTATCTTGAAATCTGGATAAAAGGAAATAATCAAGCAGTCACCTGCCTTTCCTATTTGAATTATGCCACTGGTTAACCAAACAGTAGGTGAGGAGTTTTTCTCTTTCTGGAAATATTCCAACAGATAAACAAAGGAGGAATGACTGAATCGGAGCACTACCATTTCCCAGCTAATAAATTAATGGATCCAGGCAATGATACTCAATGGCTGATAACATCACGACAAGAGAGAAAAGCACAGAAACAACCTATGAAGTGTCTTACCCAAAGAAAACGGAATGTGAATGTGATCTAGCCTCTATGTCTAATAACTAGTCTATGGGAAGTATGGTGCTACATAGAAACACAATCAACTAAAAATCTAAATTTTCTAGATCAGTGGGTGCTTTGCAAGGGGAAATTTTCCTCTTTCTCTCTCTCTCTCTTTTTTTTATATCCTCACCTGAGGATATGTTTTGTTGATTTTAGAGAGAAAGGAAGGGAGACGGAAAAAGAGAGAAACATCAATGTGAGAAACATCAATAGGTTGCCTCCCATGCAACCTGACCGGGTAAGGAACCTACAACCTGAGTATGTGCTTTCACTGGAAATCGAACCCGTGGCACGGAACGACGCTCCAACCAACTGAGCCACACCGGCCAAGGTGGGAAAATTGTTATTTTTTTTTAATGAACAAGGTACCTATAGATCAGCGGTTCTCAACCTGTGGGTCGTAACCCCTTTGGGGGTCGAACGACCCTTTCACAGGGGTCGCCTAAGACCATCGGAAAACACATATATAATGACATATTGTTTTTGTGATTAATCACTATGCTTTAATTATGTTCAATTTGTAACAATGAAATTGGGGGTCACCACCACATGAGGAACTGTATGAAAGGGTCGCGGCATTAGGAAGGTTGAGAACCACTGCTATAGACGAAAAAAAACTTTAAAAGTATATCAAAAATAAAACCATGCTAACGTGATTAAGGATGTAAAAACAGGTTTATCATTTGGATGATAAAACTATGAAGACCAAGGAAGTGAGGCCATAAAAAGCACCTCCCAAAAGAGTAATAGGCAAAGAGGTAACTCCTGGGGAGGAGGGAAGGACTGTGATTGGGAGGGACGGGTGGAAGACTACTGTGTGGCTGGAAGGTGCTAGCTCCTGATACGGGTCATTTTGCTTTATAATAATTCATTAAGCTGAACACATGTGTTTTGTGTTATATTTAATAAAAATGTTTTAAGCTTGAATTTATAACTTCAGAGAAAGCATACCTCACAAAACATAAAGCATCACCAGCTATACCTACCCGGCATTTTCTGCTGATCCTTGATAACGGTATACACCAGTGATTCCCAAAGTGGGCGCTACCGCCCACTGGTGGGTGCTGCAGCGATCCAGGGGGGCGGTGATGGCCACAGGTGCATTTGTTTTAACTTTTTTTGTATTACCTTTCGATTCTGAGTTCAATAAATAGTTTCATAATTTCAAACTTCAATGTTTCTAATTTACACCTTTACTATATTTTACGAAAAAGGTAGAAACATTAATACATATATCTTTCTGTTTAATTGCTATTAAAATTTAAAAAAAATTAATTTCCAGGGGGCGCTGAGTAATATTTTTTCTGGAAAGGGGGCAGTAGGCCAAATAAGTTTGGGAACCACTGGTATACACAATACATTTTTGTACATGATTTCTAGCGTGCGTAGACCATTTCATGGGAAAAGTCATTCAAGATTATTTTCTATGAGCCTTTTCGTGCATCACTGCCATTTAACATTTGTAATGGCTACCTCGTGAAAATTACCCATGTGTGCTTAACCAGTAGTGCCTATTAGACTTGTCTCTGATTGCCCGCCATGATGAAACAAACTTATAGCATCTTTATATACGATTTTCCTTTGAGTCATTTCTTTGGAGATTGTCTTTCTAAAGTTGAATTACTTGCCCGGCTTGTGTGGCTTGGTGGTTGAGCGTTGACCTATGAACCAGGAGGTCACGGGTCTATTCCTGGTCAGGCCACCCGCCTGGGTTGCAGGCTCGATCCCCAGTAGGGGGCGTGCAGGAGGCAGCCGATCAATGATTCTCCCTCGTCATTGATGTTTCTATCTCTCTCTCCCTCTCCCATCCTCTCTGAAATAAATAAATAAAATAAAGTTGAATTACTTGGCCCAAGGATGTGGACAGCTTATGTGCTCTGGGAAGCCCGCACCACTTTTCGTGGACAGTGCGGATGCCATGCTGTCACAGCTGTGATCTTCAGAAGCCTCCCTCTTGCTCCCTGCCCTTCCACCCTCTGTGTCCCCCGCTGGGGCCCCTGGACTCCCTTTGCAGGCTCAGCCCTTATCCTTCCGGCTCTGATCAATGATTTCTGCCGTCTTCCTATGACTAAGCCCTACCTTATGACCATGTCTCATCGTAAGATTGATGCTTCCCTTATATCTGAGATTTGATCGTCTGCCCAGGGCCCCAGCAGCTCTGACACTGAGGCCTTCCCTGAACCTCGACCCAATGTCAGAGGCCCTGCTCTCTGCCCGCCCGCCGACCAGCCAAGAATATAACCCCCATATTAACACCAGCCTAGGTACCAACGCCAAGACCAATACCACACAGATTCCAGTTCCAGCATCACCAGGAGCTGTCTGCCTGCATTGCTGGCCCTGACTCTCATGGTCTGCCACTTGGCTCCCCTCTTGCCTCAGTCCCTGTTCCGCCTGAGGGCCCTCGAAGGCTGTTGCCTTCCAAAAGCTGAGCTCCAGCCCTGGCCGGGTGGCTCAGCTGGCTGGAGTGTCTTCCCAGACACCAAAAGGCTGCAAGTTCGATTCCTGGTCAGGGCACATACCTGGGGTGTGGGTTTGATCCACAGTTAGGGAGAATATGGGAGGCAACCGACTGATGTTTCTCTCTCTCTTTAAAATCAATTTAAAAAAATGTTCTTGGGTGAGGATTAAATAATAACTAACTAAATAAATAAAATAAAATAAAAGCTGAGCTCCAGCTCTCACAATCCTTTCAGTGAATTAGAGGAGTGGCAGGTCAATGCTCATTGTCTGTTTCTGAAAGAAGAAAGAGAAAATAAAGATAGAAGAGAAAAGGAGGAGGAAGAGAAAAGGGAGGAGAAGGAAAAGGAAAGAATACAGAATAAAGCAGATTTATGTGACCAAACGAGACAAAGGAGGGAGAGGAGGAGGAGGACCGAAGGGTGGAAACAGGGAGCTGCATCCTATTCTCTCTGACCCCTCAGGCTTGCCTGAGGGAGCCATGCTGAGGAGCACCAGGCACTGGCATCTACTGGAGACCCTTTTGTTGGGCGGGAGTCGCCTTTGGATACGACCTACTGGTGACTCCATCGAGCATCTTTCTCTCACACACTTCATCACATCTGTGTCCTCACCCAACCCCCATACACGTCAACATGCTTCCTGCAGGTCAGCGGGTCCCTCAGTGCTAGAGGTGTATCCCCAGGGAGGAGCCAGGGGGAGAAGCCAGCACTGCTGGCGGGTCCCCTGCCTCCTCCCCCAGGGAGGTCTGCGCACTCGTAGTCACCTGTGAGGGCGACCAGGTGCGGCAGGCAGAGGCGGTTGGCCAGGATGATGAGCTTCATGTCGTCCAGGTCGGGGCTGGAGGTGAACATGCCGGTGTACAGGTACTCCAGCACCGCCCGCATGCAGCTCCTGCTCGTGTGCGGAAACACCACCTGGGGCAGGAGGAGGCAGCGCAGTGAGGTCGGCGTCACAAAGAGTCACTCACTCTGAGAAACTCAGAAGGCCCCGCCCCACACAGCCGGTCTCCCCCAAACAGGGAGCCACCCCTGGGCAGCCCCTGTACCTGCTGAGGGGCCCCCAACGGCCTGCCTCCCAGAGAGACAGCCTGTGCTAGCCCATCTGCTGGCCACACCAGGGAGCAGGGTTCTAACAGCTTTAAAAAGGACCTGGTTCTCACTGGCACCCTTCCGAGGCACCCTGGCTTAGAGGATGCGGGCAGCAGTCCTCAGGTCACTTACACCCACACCCTGGCTCCTCCCAGCCCTGCAGGCAGCAGAGCAAGTGGGGTGTGGACAGGCAAGCCAACATCAGCTGGCTTCTCGAAGCTGCTACTGTGGGCCTCTGGGATCTGTTCAGAGCAGCGCTGCTTCAACAACTGCTTTCTCCTGAGACGGAGTCGTAGGCTGCGCTGGGACCCGGCTGGAGCTTCGCAGCCGCTTCTATGATACTGAGAGGTGCTCGGGGCTGGCTGGCCCTGGGGCTTCAGAGTCCCTAGTCTCTCACTTAGCAAATCCCAACCCCACGCCCACGTCAAGGATCAGAGACCCACTCAGATCTCAACCTCCGCTTAGCTTCTCTTCCGAAAGGACTTCTTCCTGGAAATCCTAGGAAACTCCTAGTCCCCGTCGCAGGGACTGTGCTGCGTTGTTCAGTCCAGTTTTCCCTCCAGGTACTTGGCGAGCACTCACGAAGGGGCAGCGCTGGCTGAGGGGCGCCTGGCCGAAGTACAGACCCAGTCCCTGCACGCAAGACATCCCAGACCAGCTGGGAAACCGCGTGTGCACACTCAGCACTTCAAGCAGCTGCACAGAGTAGTACTTTGTTAACTGCAAGGCTGAGTTAATGAATAATTAATGTAATAGAAGTTCAGGGAAGATGGAGAATACCAAGGCCGCGGCCTGGGCTACTCTGCTGAGCTGGGAGAATGCGAAGATCAGACTTGAGAGAGTGGTTCTAAGGACACACTGCTAGGCCCCTTCCAGCTCTGCTGACACTCTCTGTCCTAAGGTGAGTTGGAGTGGCCGTGATCAAAGGGAAAGGTGACGATGTGAAGCATTTTTTATTTTCTGTATTTTTCTTTTATTATTTCCATCCTTTTTATTTTATTTTTTTATTTTTAATTTCTTTATTGATTAAGGTATTACATATGTGATGCGGTGGCACCTGGAGCCTTGCTGAGCCGAGGGCCTGCCCCTCCCAGGCCTAGCCAGCTCCTACAGACAGTAAAGGAATCCCTTTTGTATGCAAACCAACCAATCCGGAATCCACACCCGCACCACCTCCTTGATCAGCTCGCACTCCTAGCCACTGTCCACCTGCCCTAATTGCCCCAGAGCCAGGCACCAGATGACTAGGACAGCCCCTATGCCCCAGAGCCTGCTACATGAACCACGCCAGCCCATCTGAGAGCTTACCCTGCCTTTCCCTGTCCTTTCTTCCCAGGAAACCACAATAAAGGCCATTGCCCACAGCTCCCCTTGCTCTCGGTCTCCTGAACAATCCTGGTGCCTCCACATGTGCTCCACCCCTCAGCCCCCATGTGCATGCGTTCTCTTACTGGATCTGTGAGTGTAAAATGTATCTTTTCAATGGCAGTCTCATCCTGATCTGTTATGTTCACCATGCCTCACTTAATAAAACTTACACTTGAAAACAGTGATGGGTTCAGCCGGGGACACACTGGACTTTTTTCTAGTTGTTTCATATGTGTCAGGGAGAAAGCGAGGTACAGTGTGGAGTCAGAGGTTCTAAGTTCAAGTTCTAGCCTCTCCTTTCTAATTAGACAACTTTGCACGAGTCATTAACCCAGGGGTGGGCAAACTTTTTGACTCGAGGGCCACAATGGGTTCTTAAACTGGACCGGAGGGCCGGAACAAAAGCATGGATGGAGTGTTTGTGTGAACTAATATAAATTCAAAGTAAACATCATTACATAAAAGGGTACGGTCTTTTTTTTTTTTTAGTTTTATTCATTTCAAACGGGCCGGATCCGGCCCGCGGGCCGTAGTTTGCCCACGGCTGCATTAACCTCTTAGGCCCTCGCTTCCCTCATGTATAAGGTGGGAATGCTAAGCCATGTACGAGAGGCTGGGTGAGACGATGCTGAGATAATGTGTTGAAAGTGCTTTCTAAACTACAGAGT